TCAGGTTAGTTGTTGTTGTTGTTGTTGTTGTTGTTGTTGTTGTTGTTGATGATGATGCTGCTGCTGTTGGGTGCCCTGATGTCAATACAACTCATAGAGACCCAAAGAACAAAAGATCTAAATCTTGTACTATCCAGCACCATCCTCATACTTCTTTACACACAAGAGCCCATTGTAGTAGTCACTGTGTCACTAAACCTGGTTGAGGATTTTCCTCTCCTTTGCCAACCCTCCAAGGAACAAGCCCTGCTAGCAATATGCTCAAAGTATATGAGGCAAAGCCACATTATTCTAGCCTCCAAAGAACACTCTGGTGGCACCCTCTCTGTTCTCTTGGCCATCCATGGGATGTTCAGTTCTTTGTCCAACACCAGTTCAAAGGCATCAATTTTTCTGTCATTCTTATTCATTGTCCAGCTCTCAGATGCATAGCAAGTAATGAGAAGCATCTTATTCCTCAAACTGTCTTCATTACTCCTCAATAACTGTTGCTGTTGATATATGTTGTCAAGTTGCCTGCAACTCATACCGACCCTATGTACAACAGCCCTAAATCCTGCTCTATCCTGTGCCAATCTCACTGTCTCCAACACACCAACTCGGATTACCCCAGTCACTGAATCAATCCACCTCATAGAGGGTCTTCCTCTCCTGCACTGTCCCTCCACCCTCCCTGGCATGACATCCTTCTCCAAGAACTGGTCCCTCTTTGCAACATGTCCAAAGTATGTCAGACGAAGCTTCAGAATCCTTGCTTCCAAGGAGCAGCCTGGTTTAACCCTCTCCAGGATGAACATGTTCATTTTCTTAGCAGTCCATGGTATATTCAATCCTCGTATTTAATTCCTCCATAATTACTCCTCAATAAATTGGAGAGGTACCTAACTACAGATTTTCCCAGTGCAATGTGTCTGCTTATTTCCTGGCTGCTCATACCAAGGATGTTAATTGTAGATCCAAGTAAGATGAGGCTGTTGAGTTTCAATCTCCTCTCAATTCATCATGATGCAGTTTATTGTTCTGGTGGTAAGAATCTTTGTTTTCTTGACATTGAGATGCAATTCATACCAAAGCCTACATTCCTTGATGTTCTACAACAAGTGCTTCAAGTCCTCCTCACTTGCAGCATGCAAGGTTGTGTCATCTGCATAGTGCAGTTTATTGATGAATCTCCCTCCAATCCTCATGACACACTTCAGCTTCTCAGATAATTTGCTCAGCAAACAGATTGACTATGTATATAGAGAGAATGCAGCCCTGATGCACTCTCTTCCCAATTTGAAACCATGGAGTGCTCCCCTGCTCCGTTGGCACAACAGCCTTCTGGTCAAGGTGCAGGTTCCACATGAGCATGATTAAATGCTCTGGGATTCCCATTCTTCTCAATGTCAGCCACAACTTGTTATGATCCACACAGTCAAGCATAAACTGTCTGCATCACCCACTTATCCTGGTTCCCAGAAAAACAGGACCATGTGTGAATGCAAAGTGTGGCATCTGAAAATCATCAGAGCTATCTTATTTAGTTCTCCAGTGTATGCTAAGCGAGCCATTAGAGGAGCTGGTATATGTGAAAAGAAATGTGGCATCATGATTAAAAGAAGACTCACTAACAACCTGTGTTATACAGATGACAGATAACACAACATCGCCTACAGAGAGTGAAAAGGACTTGAAGTACTTGATGTATCAAAGACTACCGCATTCAATATGCATTATATCAAAACAACAAGGGAAAAAATGCTCACCACTGGACAACAGGCAACACTGTGAGAGATGGAGAAAAGACTGGAGTTGTCAATTATTTCATTTTATTTGAATCTATAATCATCATCCGTGGTAGTAATAGTCTCAAGAACTCAAAAGACATGCTGCATTGGGGAAATCTCTGTTAACAACCTCTCCAAAGTGCTAAAGAGTAGGAATGTCAGTTTAAAGACTCAAGTGCACCTGATCCAAGCCATGGTGTTTTTAAATTGCTTCACACACATCTGAAAGTTATAAAATGAATAAGGATGACTGAGTTAAGAATTGATACCTCTGCACTGTGGTGTTGGTAAAGGATACTGAATATACCATGAGCTGCCAAAAGAACAAGCAAGTTTGTCTTGGAAAACTTTAAGCAAAGGGCTCCTTAAAAGCAAGGATGGTGACACTCCTCTCGCATACTTTGGACAATGCTGTCGGAGATGCCAGTTCTTGGAAAAAAGACATCATGCTGGAAAACAGAGTCAGAGAAAGAAAGATCCTAAACAAACATCTACCACAGTGACTGTAACAATGTGCTTGATAATATTAAAGAGCATGAAGATGACACAGTGTATTGTTCCAGTGGTTGTTCATAGGGTCACTATGAGTCACAGTCAACTCAAAGGCACCTAGTAACAGAGTTCATATACAGTGGGTTTCACAATATCCTTCATTCATATTGTTTTTAAAACATTAATTCCTATACATTATGTTTTATACAATCAATCATTACCCAATCTTCTCAGGTCCCTGACGGATCGATCCTTTCCGTTATCTTCACCCTCTCCCTCCATCTACCAAACTGCACAACCCTGTGCTTTTGTCCCTACCCATACTGATCCCTCTATTTCTACTCCTTACCTCCTTGGGTGGTCCCCATACATTCTATTAGTTATTCTTATATTTTTATGCTAATTGTCTTATGCAGTATTTATCTTTATGAGACTGAGTTAGTTCACTTGGCTTAATGCTATCCAGTCTATACCATTATGCAGTATTTTTTGAAATCATTGTTCCTGAGTATTTATCGTATTCCATTGTGTGAATGTATCTCAAGTTCTCAAGCCATTCAGTTGTAGTTGGACATCTGGGCTGTTTCCATGATCTCACAATGGTGCATAATGCTGCTATCAACATTGGTGTACAGATCTCCATTTGTGTCTCATCATTCTAAACCTTTATATTCATCCTGTCTCTTTTTAGATAAAACAGTCCACGAGCTATTATTCAATTTACACAAGAAATACCAAAATTCCCTTGGTAAAGCACTCAAACCAGGCAAAATTTCACCTCAATCTTACTTTTCCAGTCATGTGCCTCTGGTACGAAACTCCTCTCTTCATTTGGCATTCAAACTAAACCCACAAAAATCACCCCAAAACCACCACTATGGACTACAAAACCACCTTTTTAAACTTATACTCATGATAACCCCTCATTTCCCTGCCCAACCAAGCCACACATAAAATATCTTCCCTCTGCCACTCTGCTCCCCCAGAGCCTACCCATGATAGATGATGATCTATCTCAAGTTGTCCACTGTTTGGTTTGTTGTTATTTTTTCTTACTTTTTTCAAACTTTGTAATTCTTCTGGTATTTGGTATAAGAATCATTATTTGCCACAAAAAACTAGAGAGACTCTGAAATTGGTTTCATTTCCACCTAAGATGTAGTAGGGGATTTTGAACCTTGCTTTTTCAAAAGATCTTTCATGTACTTAATTTCAACAAAGAGATTTTTAAATTCTTCAAGGAAAATCTCCCATCATGCACCAACTTCTTTGTGAGGGAAAGCTCATAACAAAAGTTTAATTTCAGTAAATAGTTTGTAAATGTACTAGGTGGTACTTTGATAAATATACTGTCCTAAAATTTACCAGAAATCACTAGATGAACTGTTGTTGTTATTATTGTTGTTGTTGCTATGTGCCATCAAGTTACCTGCAACTCATAGCGATCCTATGTACAACAGCCCTAAACCCTGCTCTATCCCTTGCCAATTTTTTAAAAAGAAATAAAATTTTTATTTGATACTGATTTACTTGCAAAGTTTGTGTTTTTTTCTACTAGTTTATTTACAAAATTCAAATTTGAACAAATTCTTTTCATTTCCCTTACCCCCTCACCCATCAAACTGTACAACCCAATGTTTAATACCCCTTACCCCTGTACATCCACATCCCTCTGCTTCCAGCCTCTCCCACTCCACCTGAATCCTTATACTCATTCTACAATAATGGTCTTATACAATATTTATCCTTATGTGACTGAGTTAGTTCACTCAGCATAATGCTCTCCAGTCCCGCCCAAGTTAGGGAATAAGTGACAAAGTTATTGCTCCTGCATGCTCCATAGTATTCCATTGTGTAGATGTACCATAATTTCTCAATCCATTCGTTAGTGGTTGGACATTTTGAGATTTGTCTCGGACACACCTATCCTCATTACCCCAGTGACAGAATCAATCCATCTCATCAAGGGTCTTCCTCTCCTGTGCTATCCCTCCACCCTCCCAAGCATGACGTCCCTCTCCAAGGTCTGATCCAAATGGACTATAGACAGTGAAAAGAAGCAAGGTATTTCCACAGGGTTCCATTTAAAAACAAACAAACAACTAGCAATTAAGGATCAGGATACCGTTTCTAATGACCAAATAATGGTGTGTGCACACAATACCAATCTACACTCTATCAGGGCACCTGAGGGACCCCCAGATGGGGTAAAACTCACAGAGCAGTAAGATGTGTTTTGAATATTCCTAGGCATCTTTCAACAAATCTGTAAGGATATTGGTCTACTTGTGGCCAAGTCAAAATGCCACCACCAACAAAATTGCTATGTCACAGTGCCAGGCTCTCTTTCTAGAGCTTAGTCTATCTCGTGTCTCCATTATGTCTTTTAACCAAGTGACACTCATCTAATTATTCTCAATAAGTCTTTTCTAGACTAACCTCTGCAGATCACAAACACAATACAAGCATTTTAAAGTACCTAATACTGTCAAAATGACTGCAGATGTTATGGATGGTATCAGATACAGCACTACTATGAGGCACTTAAGTATATTCAGAAGTATCACCACTATATATCACTCTAATGTGAGCCCAAGTGCTACAAGTAAAAGCAAGAAGTTACCCTGGAGAAAAAACTTAAGCAGTACATAGTATTCTCAAATATGTTACATTCAGTAGATTTTTACGTATTACTGTGTTTATTTGACACACACACAAAATAAGACATAAAATGCCTACCTTGTGTCTGTTTCTTGTTTACTGCATTATCAGCTTTATGTCGTTTCTAAAATAAAAACCAAAAACAGTGTGAAAAAGTGAATGAATGATTATTGAAACAAAATCGTATCCTTACCAGATTTCCGTTTCTCAATGTTTTTATACTTTGTCACTCATTTCAATCTTTTTTTTTAATAATTTTAATGAACATTTACAGAGAATTTGGATTTTCATTCATTCATTGCTGCACTTCTCTACCCGCCCAGCCCTCTCCCCCCGCCCCCATAAGCAAGTATCAGTGAGGATGTTCAAATAGGAACAATCAAGAGTATACTCATGAATTTTAAAATCGAAAATACAAGTCACAGCATCTTTACACAGAACTGCTGGGGGCACATGTTTGTTGCCTTTGGGAGGATATGAAATTATCATAATGGTGTTGTATGTCCTTAAGTCCATTCCATTTACCAAAGACAGTAATGCCTGGATGTAGTCCCCATTGCCCACTACTTCCCAACACACTTACCCCTGGAATCAAAAGCCACAAGATCCCCCTATGACTCTTCCCAAAGACACTTAAAAAATTAAATGGCAGTCAGAGAATTTAATCTAAGCTTGAATGAGTGAGTTTGAGGTATGACATGACCCAAGGTTTTATGTTGTCGTTGTTGTTGTGTGCTGTCGAGTCGCTTGTGACTCATAGCGACCCTATATAAAACAGCACTAAACTCTGCTCTGTCCTGCGCCAATCACACTGTCTCCGACACACCCATCCTGATTACCCCAGTCACTGAATCAATCCACTTCATAGAGGTCCTTCCCCTCCTGCGCTGTCCCTCCACCCTACCAAGCATGATGTCCCTCTCCAAGGACCAGTCCCTCCTTACAACATGTCCAAAGTATGTTAGACGTAGCTAAGAATCCTTGCCTCCAAGGAGCCACCTGGTTTAACTCTTTCCAGGATGAATCTGTTTGTTTTCCTAGCAGTCCATGGTACCTTCAATATTCTTCTCCAGCACCACAGCTCAAATGAATCAATTCTCCTTCTATCCTCCTTAGTCATTGTCCAATTCTCTGATGCATAACAAGTGATGGCAAAGACCATGGCCTGTATCAGACACACCTTAGTCTCCAGAGAGACACCACTGCTCTTCAGTACTTTGGAGAGGTCCCTAATAGCAGACTTTCCCATCGCCATATGTCTTTTAATTTCCTGGCTACTGGTGCCAAGAGTGTTGACTGTGGAGCCAAGCAAACTAAAGCTGTGAACAATATCAATCTCTTCACTATCCATCCTGATGCTGTTTTATAGTAGTCAAAAATTAAAAAGTTAAGAATTTGAATAGTGAGAGAAAGCTACGGTTCCATAAGGCTCAGCTAGGTTTCCCAAGACTTTCATCTAAACTTACAGTGTATAGTACATAAAAGTCTTTACAAGACACAGAGGAGAGATGAGAGTAATGATCTGTGCTCAAAGGATCTATCATATAGAGTCCAAGGTCAGATTCAGCTGAACATAACAGACTTTGAAGCTGGTTGCAACAAATAAAAAAACAAATGAGCTCCTAAGTGTTACATTTGCAAAGCATCACGGTTTAGCAGCTCAGTGCCCATATGAAACAGTCTGTAAGAGAAAAGTCTACAGTGGTGGGTTATCACTCCTCTAAGATACAGTATCACTCACAGGAAGTAGTGTTAATAGCTGGCTGTGTGAATTTAGTTAGTTCAAACAATCAGCCACAGAACTACATAAAACAGAAGGAAAGTATTCAAAAGGCCTCCATGAAAGACTTGCTGGAAATTATTCTTGCCTTGTGTATACATAGGAAGACACTAGAAAAGTTTCCTAAAATATCCACTTCCTAAACCACATGCCTCTGGAAACTTTAGGAACTTGGAGAGATGATTTGGTTGTTTGTTCATAAAGTTGCTATGAGTTGTGCTCAACTCAAGGCAACCAACAACAACAACAACAATGCAAATGTTTTTACTAGAAAATATTCAAAAGCAAATTTTAAAAATATTATTAAATTTGTAGAAACGACTTCTGAATCCATTGTGTCAATGCACTGACTACAGCACTGGGTTTAACATGAGAGAGATGATGAAGGCACAGACAGGGTTCAGATCTGTAGTTCACAGGCTTGCTCTGAGTCACACTCGACTACACAGCACCTAACAACATTTTATAACTGGCAAAACTGTATTATGTGCTTATTAATGAAGAAAATGGGGCAGTAACTGGAACAAATTCTGATCCAAAAATTATGACTTCTAATAAATTTATGTACTTTTAAGGTATTTCCAAAATGATGCATGTCTATGACAGGTAAATTGGTAAGACTTCCAGAAGGATGCAAGCGAAAGCTAATTAATGAAATCTTTACATCAAACAGGAAATTTAATATTTGTGGAACTAAGGAAATTCTGAACATTACTTTCCATTTACAGAGAATTCTCACATGAGAATCTCTTTTTACTACACCCCTGCTATCAGATAAATTGGGTTACATGCTAAGAAACTACACTGAATATAACTGAAAGCTTCCAGCTAAATAAGAAGATACTTAAGACTATAAAAATATATGCCCTTTCTTTCCTAAAACAAACAAACAAACAAAAAAAATGCAAACAACCCCAAACCAACCCTTCCATCAAATGGATTCTGACTCATAGTGACCCTATAGTATACCAATGGACATTCCTAGGGAATTTGAGACTAAAGTCTTTTTGGAAACACACGTTCTCATCTTTTATCCCAGAGGTGTTGGTAGATCAGAACTATCAACTTTTCCGTTAACATGTTTCCTCCTAAAAGAGATTGATTTTTCCTTCTAAAATGAGTATGTTTGAGAAACATCATTATTCTCTTAAGTTCAAATACTCATTCTCTAATCAGAATTTCATTAATGGCAATGAGAACAAGCAAATTATTTAGTATTATCAGTGAGAGTACATAAATGAATTTATCATTTAAATTAAGTGTCACAAATCATCAGGATGCTTGAGGTTAGTTGGAGGACTAAGAAACACCATATTCAAGCCATGGCCTTTGTAATCACCTGCTGAGAGCTGGACAATGAATAAGGATGACAGAAGAATAGAAAGAATATAACCCTGACACACACCCTTCCTGATTTTAAATTATTAAGTTTTTTTTTTCTTTCTCTATTCAGACAACAGCTTCTTGGTCTATTTAAAGGTTTTATACGAGCACAATAAAGTGTTCTGGATTCTCATTTCGCTCAATGCCAGCCACAGTTTATGTGATCCACACAGTCAAATGCTTTTGCAGAGACAATAAAACACACATAGACATTCTTCTGATATTCTCTGCACTCAGCCAGCATCCAAGTGACATCAACAGTGATACCTCTGGTCTCTTCTAAGGCCAGTCTGAACATTTGGCGGTTCTCTGTCAATGCACAGTTGTGGCCATTTTTTTTTATCTTCAGCAATATTTTACTTGCATGTCTTATTAATCATATTGTTCAGTAATTCCCACCTTCTGTTGGATCACCCTTCTTGGGGATGGAAATAAAAATCTCTTCCAGTGAGTCAACCAGGGAGCTGTCCACCAAATTTCTTGGCATAAACTGGAGAGTGTGTGTGCAATTGCAAATGTTAGCCAAATCTTATCAATCAGTATGCCGTCTATTCCTGGGGCCTTATTTTTTGCCACTGTCTTCAATGTAGCTTGAATTTCTTCATTTGTGACCACTGATTGTTGTTCTTAGGATACTTCCTGAAGTATTTCAGTATCAACAAATTATGTTTGATTCTGTGTATTTCTGGCATCTTTGATGCTTCCTGAGTCATTCAAGATTTTGCCAATGGTACCTGCAACTCAAGGGTCAAATTTGTTTTTTAGGTTTTTTTAGCTTGATAAATTCCAAGTGAGTGCTTCTCTTTCTATTCTTATACCAGCTCTTTGCACATTTTTTTAACATACTCTGCTTTCTCTGCTCAAGCTGTCCTTTGAAATCTTCTATTCAGCTCCTTTACTTTGGTATTTCTTTCCTTGGTCTTGGCTTCCTGATGCTCTAATGTAATTTCATAGTTTCTTCTGATATATTTTGGCTTGTGGCAGGGCTACCTTGCTCGATGCCCATGAAGATCCACTCCAGGTCCCAAATTATGCATATCACTTAATAATAAAGTGTGAATTCTGGTCCCTTACCTTTAATATATCTACAACCTTTACAAAAGATGCTAGTAATTGAAGAAACTACATATGAGAATTCTCCACATTTGATATGCATTTTTTTCCTTTAAACTTAAAACTATTCTAAAGAAACAAATCTTATTATTAAAACATCACACCAACAATGACAAAAAAACCTAGCACATTGCCTGGTAAGGAATAAGTGTTCAAAGAAAATTAGGTTAAACAAACAAATGGAGTCCATAAGGAAAATATTTGCAGTAAAGACCAATCTCCACGAATGCCAAATCAAACCACAATTTAAAGGATGGTAAATCCACAAAGAGCAGTGTGGATGAGAAGAGAATTTAAATTTTTAAGCTTATCATTGTCCCCATATAGAGTCACTTAACAATCAAGAAGAATATGATATATTCCATATTTACTGAGTCACTCAGATGTTTGAAAACTGTTTATTTGACCCATTTTTATGTCTTCTTAACAAGATCATAACTTGACTCTATATTGTTATGTGTTATCGAGTCACCTGTGACTCATAGTGACTGTATATATAACAGCTCAGAACCCACCCTATCCTGAACCTAGCTCACTGTCTGCGACACACCTACTGCCATAAACCCAGTTACTCTGTCAATCCATTGCATTCAGGTTCTTCCTCTTCTGCACTGTCCCTCAACCTTTCCAAGCATCATGTCCTTCTTCTGGGACTGGTCACTCCTGGTCACATGCCCAAAGTTTGTGAGATGGAGCTTCAAAAGCCTTGCCTCCAAGGAGCAGTCTGGTTTCACCCTTCCCAGGATAAACCTGTTTGTTCTCTTTGCAGTCTTTGATATGTTCAATACTCTTCTCCAGCACCACAACTCAATGACATCAATTTTAATATTAATGTCTAAGAAACTTTAAATTGGACCTTTCTTAATAATGTCTCAGTCTTTCAACACCTTACCATCTGACATTCTTGACGCTCATCAGATAACTCGAGACAAGTAAACGAGTATTTAAAAAAAAAAAACAAACAAACAAAAAACAGGAAAAACTACAGCTATCCTCAAATAAAGTAGGTAAAATAACGAAAAAGAAATCTTGACTTCCCCTTTTCTCAAATACCACAGAATGTCAAAAATAGAAAAATCTGCTATTTTTTTCTTTATAAAGTAAAGAGGAAAGGAAACTTAGAACTACTAAAATAAGATGAAAAGGAGTCAAATGAATTTAATAAGGCAAAATAATGATAAAATATTAATAAACTTTATATTTCATTCACTTGAAGTTTACTTTGTCCAACTTAATTATAAATGTTTAAATTTAGCTCTTCAAGCCCACTCCTGTATTCTAAATAAGTTAGTTCATTAATAAACTACATTAAAAAAAAAACCCACAAACCCATAGTAAGGCTTCTAACATATTAATCCTACAGAAATCAACAGAACTTAACTTCAGGAGTGGTAGAATATCTTGGTATGCTGAAAATAACCTAGTAAAGCAACAGTTGCAAATGTGCATTAAAAAGATAACGAAAGAGTTGAACACTTACAATATCTTCTATTATCTCTTTAACAGCTGCCACTGCTAAAATAAATAAGAGTGGAACCAGTGTTGTGTAACGACCTGTAGGTGACACATCAGGTATTTGCTACACAAAGGAAGAAGAGAAAAAGAGAAATTCAGTGAGAACTACCAAGAATAAAAAAATATATAAGAACTACAAAGATTTAGTGATTCAAAAAATAAGCCTCACTGATATCTTGGCCAATTAAAGTAATTTGTTTCTATCTAAGGGGAGCTCTGGTGGCGTAGTGGTAAGGAGTTGTGCTGCCAGCCTAAGAGTATGCAGTTTGAAACCAGCTGCTCAAAAAGGAGAAAGATGGGCAATCTCCTCCCATGTGAGTTACTGTCTCTGAAAATCTATAAAGTCAGCTATGAGTTGGTTCTGAATCAATGGTACACAACAACAAACAGAACTCTTCACAGTAAGCAGTGGAGTGCAGAGCTCACATGCATACTAGGAGATCAGTTAGATAAATTATAGTTTATTCAAATGCTAAAGTATCAGTCATTATAAATTACATGTTAGAAAAATAACTGCTAACAAGAAAATATACTAATATATTTACACGAGTTAACGAAGTTTGTTAGAAGCAGGAATGGCAACTGCTTCCTAAAACAACATGCCTCTGGAAACTCTATGAACTTTGATAAATGAAGGTAGCTATAGAACGGCTTTAGGCCTTTTGTTCATAGGGTCATTATGAGTTTTGCTCGACTCAACAACAATCAACACACACAATCAACACAAAGAAGTTTGAAACTAGATATACATAAAATCCCACTTTTATAACATAAATCAATAACCTGTGCTTGGAAGGAAAAAAAAAGATCAGAAGGATATATACTCTAACTGGTCTATTTGAGTAGTGGTACAAGAACTTTAAATCTTTTCCTTTTATGCTTTTTTGTATGCTGTAATCCTTTTTTACAATTAATAAAACCAAATCACTAGGCATGTTTTCGACAAAGCTAATGGATGGTTTCAAACTGCCAACCTTGTGGTTTGTTGTTATGTATGAGCTGCTGAGTCAAAACTGATTCATAGCTGACCCTCCAGCGAGTTTTCAGAACCAGTAAATCTCATGGGACGAGAATGCAGACTGACCATTTATTGCCTGAGAAGCAGTGGGTGAATTGAAACTGCTTATCTTTGGGTTGGCAGCACAACTCCCTACCCACCAGGTCACCAGGGCTTCTTCAGTTAGTAGCCAAGAGTGAATCATTTATGCTATCCAGAGGGCCTACATTTTTAAAACAAAATATGGCAATTTTTTTTCTGATTACAATGAACTCAAATACAAAAGAAAACACAAGATTTAAACTAGTTATCCTTATAGGCTATGCTTTAGAACTCATATCATTACTAAAATAATACTTAAGGGGAAAAAAATCCCATCTTCATTCTCCAAGTGAAATAAACAGCTCTTGTGCTAGGCTGAATTCACAGATGACTTAAAATCAGGTGATAAATGAGGCACACAGAGGTAGCGGAATTCTGACAGGGCCTGCAGCAAGAGCCCAAAATATCCACCATTACCAGGTTCTTCTCTCTGCCTTAGATCACATTCAGAGCACACTGGCCAAGGACTTAACAGAAATATGCATCTACACCTGAACACTTTGATGAAGGTTTTTACAGGGTGACTTTACCTGAAGCAGTGCAATAAAGAGAAAAAATGAATTAGCGGCTCTTCTGAACTGAGAGTAGAGAAACCGTGGCAGAAATGTGATAATGTTGTATTTTGCAGTGCTGTAAAAGACAAATGAAAAAGAGCATAAAATGTCACCATTAGTACACCTCCTTTTATCACGATATGAAAAAAAGAACAGATGATGAACAGGTCTTCACACTGTTTAAAACTGGAAGAATACCCCAAAAAGTCATTAACCAAAATGAAGATAGTGAAAGAATTGGCTAAATAGTAAAGAATGCATATATCACAGATTTTATTTTTTCCTTAAAATGTTTTGCCATCTCTGGCTAATTTGGCTTAAAATGAAGAAAACTTTAGTTTTTTAGTGTTTTTAGTATAAAAAGGACAACAGGTTAATAGAAAATTAAATCTTATACATATAAAAAGTTAGCAGTTGGAAACAGAACTATAAAATAACGATGCCTTCCCTGACTAACTTTAAAGAAATGGAGAGTCTTCTGGGATTCAGCTGGTGTTTTCTTTGTGGATTCCTGACAAGAAGACTGGAACTCTACACTAAACAAGGCACCGGTGAGCTATCCCTACTTCGTTCTTGGAGATATCTGATGGTCTTCTTGTTATCAAATAGAAAGGAGAATAAAGAAAATAAAGAGACACATGGGACACATTTCAAATTAAGAAACTGTACAGTAGAAGCTGAAGGTGTAAATAGTCATTTCAAACTGGCATTTCTCAACTCTGGCAACTCTGCCATTGGAGCAAACAGTGCACTCAATCACTGAGGTGTTCAGCTGTCTGCATAGGTCACATGCAGTACTGAGCGGCTAGTGCTAATATTGATCCTTTCTGTACTATTGCTGGGATGAAAACGTAACACTCAAGTGATTCTTGCAGACCTCTCATCTTCAGCACCACAGTGAAACTCACAATTACCAAAAGCTACTATTTAAGGACTATTTAACCAAAAGGAGTTCTCCCTGGAATTGCAAGGATCTCCATTAAAATGATAAATCCTATTAAACCAAAAACAATAATGCTTCAATCTCATTGCTGGATTATGACAAATTCTTTTACTCATGAGCAGCACTCAGTGTTCAAATTCTACCAGTGAAATTGGCAGAGTGTGGCTGTTTACTCTATCAGTCTTACTTTCATCCAGATTCTATTTACCACCTCTTTGATCCACTAGAAGGTAGGGAAACAAAGAACCTGGTAGCAGTGAGCTCACAGTGACTGAAAGCTCCATGCGAGTGTTTTCAGTTCATGTGCATGCAGGCAATGTCCTCCCGGATTCGGCTGCAATACCTTGTCCGGAGCATCTGCAGCAGTGCCTACCTGACGTGATTATTGCAGAACTTTGTCAGCTGGGGTTGGTTGATGAATATAGTCCTCACTTCCTCCTGGTCGGCCAGGGAAGTCTTCTCCGAGACATCATCCGTCTTCTCATAACCTTAAGAAGGGACAGTCTTATTACTTGAGAAGAAATATTTCATTATACACACTAAAAGCATATTTCAAAACAACATATTCTAGAATGGAAAAAAAAAGTCTGTTGAAAGCTACATGCTTCCCTTTATCAGTGTATTTGTTCCTCTTGAAAAAAAAAACAACCAAAAAAACCAAAACTTCCCATCTAACATTTCTACTAGATTTTAAAAAGTGTTTAGGTGCCTTCAAGTCCACGAATTCGTTCAAGTCCATGTACAACACATCTGTGCATAACCGTCCTGCCTTATCCTGCACCATCCTGACAATCTCCACCAGGCTCAAACTCACTGCAGCAGTCACTGTGTCAATTCATCTCAATGAAGGTCTCCCTCTCCTTCCTCGTCCCTCCTCCCTTCCAAGCATGATATTCCTTCCCAAGGTCTGGTCCCCCCTTGACAACATGTCCAAAGTGTGTCTGCTTTGCTTCTAAGGTGCACTCTGGATGCTCTTCTTCCACCAGTATTTAGTAAACGGACATGCAAAATCAAATCCATTTATACATAAATATCCAAAACCAACTAATACTTTGACATTACACTTTTAGACAAGATTCAATTACACATTATATTAAAATGTACATTTACATTTTAAAATATTGTGCTTTTAGGTCATGTTTTTTCTGATTTGTGTCTTGTTTTTTCTTTTGAAACAGATGGGAAAAGACAAATATGAAGGTTTCAATAGGAAAAGCATCACAAATACCTAACCCATTGCTGTTGTTGTGTTTGTAAAATTGGAACCAACTCAGAGCTGACCCTCCAATGGGTTTGAGGAGAATGTTTCAGAATGGGAGCCGATTGTCCCTCTTTCTCCCACAGAGCAACTGGTGGGCTTGAAACTCGTCCCTTTAGGACTGCAGTGCAGCTTCTTTTCCCTAAGCCACCACAGCTCCCAGTATGACCACCTAACCTTCCCGCCAAACACTGTTCATACACAAGAAATCTGATGTGTCTTAACAACATTACAGGTCACCTCACCATCACAGCACAACAGATTCAAGGTGATTTCAAATAACACCTTGTTTCAATATTGATAATACTTCGTATGCAAGTTCTAGAAGTACAGAAAATAAATGGGGGGGGGTAATGTTTATTTGGCCTTATAATGATTAAAAGGGACTGCAGTCTTCGCTTTTCTTTAAAAATGGGCACCATCAGCATAGTATCTTAAATACCCATTTGTCTTCTCTTTTCTCCCTCACAAAAAATATTACCAAACTCATTGCCATGGAGTTGATTTTATACTCACTGCAATCCCATAGGGTAGAGTGGAAGAGCCTCATAGGGTTTCCAAGGTTGAAAATCTTTCTGGAAATGGACTGTCACGTGTTTATCCCACAAAACTAAAGACCTTTCTGTTAACAGCCAACAATGCTTAACCAATGTGCTACCAGGAGGTCTTCATTCAACCTTTCCAATGCCAATTCCTTCTCCTTTATTTTTCAAGAAAACAAAAATTCTTTATGTAGCTTTTAATTTCCAAATTAAGAGCCATTCTTGAAACATTACAAGCTACTATATTTATGAAAGAGCAAACAAAAGCAAAACCAAAACAAAATACAAAAAATGAGTCAAAAACTGGATTCTTCATGCAACATGTGTTAACAGTGATTATAATCCACAATTTAAAAACATTATAGAAAAAGCTAGGATTCTTACTTTTGCAGCAAATGAACCTTCCCAGACAGACACATTTGGCTTAAATTAATTGAAAGGTGGCAATTTGCTAAGTTTCAAAGCACTGGAGATTTGGCACTTGGAATTTTAGAAATCCATCTTCGAAAAACCCTATGAATTTGTCATGGTTTTGTATTGAGATTTTAATGAAAGTTTATAAAGAACTTGGATTTACATTCATTCACTGTTGCACATTTTCCTCTCTACCCCCCTTCCCCTCCACCAGTTCACGTTTTTCATTGGAAAAAAAATGCTCTTTCATTGTTATACAGTCCCCCTCCACAGCCCACTTTACTATGCAGCTCTTATTCTGGACTCTCGTCATGACAATTCCTCCTTTAAGATCTTACCAATGTGGAGGTCTTCCTGGATACCACATCCAGTGTACTTCTTCTAGCCACCCTATTCCTAGTAACACACTTACCCGGGGATCTGTTTCTTCTTTGCTTATGCGTTAGCCTCTTCATTTCAAAATGAGAACTCCCCGAGGCTACAGGTGATGTGTTACTCATCTTCCTAAGACCAGCACAAAAAACGCAACTGGCAAACTCAATGTGTGCTACGTAAATAATGGGGAACAGCAACAGGGTGGTTTATCTGGCCTTTGTCTTGAAGGCAAGCAATAAGTCTCCACCCACTGATACAGGCACCAAACATAAGCAAGTACTGATAACAAACTCTAGGAGGGGAAAAAGTATGTCTAAGGGGTTCTGTCACCACAGGAAACAAAGTCCTTTAGTCTTTCAGTAAAGATAAAGACCACCAGCAAGGTACTGGAGGATGAGATGTGAAAAATTCAGTAATGCATGCAGAGGAGTATAAATGTTGTTATGTGCCATCGAGTCGCCTGCAACTAACTCATAGACATAATAGCTCTGAACCCTGTCCTATTCAGAGCCAAGCCTTTTGTCTCTGACATACCTACCACCATTACCCCAGTTACTGTGTCAGTACATCTCACCCTGGCCCTTACTCTCCTGTGCTCTCTCTCCCTTCTCCATAGACTGTTCGCTCCTGATCACGTACCTGAAGTATGGGAAGTAGAGCTTCAAAATCCTAGCCTCTGAGGAGAAACTTGGTTTCACACTCTCTAAGACAGACCTATAAGTTCTCTTGGCATCCATGGTATGTTCAATACTCTCCTCCATTATCACAACTCAAAGGCATCAATTATTCTTCTGTCATCTTTAGCCACTGTCCAGCTCTCTGATGCATAGTAAGTAATTCCAAAGATCATGGCCTGGATCAGGTGCACCTTAGTCTCCAGAATGATAGCATTGTTCCTCAATACTCTGGAGAAGTCCTGACAGCAGATTTTCCCATGCAATTTGTCTTTTGAGTTCCTGACTGCTGGTGCCAAGAGTGTTGATTTGTTGTTAGGTGCCATCGAGTTGAGTACAATTCATAGCAACCCCAGGAACAAAAGATCTGAATTCTGTTCTATCTTGTGCCATCTCACAAGAGTCCCATGGGGCAATTACTGTATCAATCCACTTGGTCAAAAGTCTTCCTCTCTTTCACCTACCCTCTACCCTTTCTAGCATCATGTCCTTTTCCAATGAATGGTCCCTGCTAGCAACATGCCCAAAGTATGTGGGGAAAAGTCTCATTCTTGCCTTCAAAAAGTACTCCAGCTGCACCCTCTCCAAGACATATTTGTTTGTTCTTTTGGCCATCCTTGACATGTTCAGCACTCTTTTCCAACACCACAGCTCAACTGCATCAATAATTTTTCTGTCATCCTTATTCACTTTCCAGCTCTCAGATGCATAACAATTGAGCAGAAAGACCGTGGTCTGAATCAGAGGCACCTTAGTCCTCTAACAAACATTGTTGTTGTTTGTTGTTGTTATGTGTCGTCGAGTTGCTTGTGACTCATAGCGACCCTATGTACAACAGCCCTAACCCTGCTCTGTCCTGTGCCAATCTCACTGGCTCCGACACAACCACCCCAATTACCCCAGTCACTGAATCAATCCACCTCATAGAGGGTCTTCCCCTCCTGCACTGTCCCTCCGCCCTCCCAAGCATGACGTCCCTCTCCATAGACCAGTCCCCTCCTTGCAATATGTCCAAAAGTATGTCAGACGAAGCTTCAGAATCCTTGCCTCCAAGTATTTAACTCTCTCCAGGGCGAACCTGTTCTTTTTCTTAGCAGTCCACGGTACATTCAATACTCTTTTCCAGCACCACAGCTCAAAGGCATCAATTCTCCTTCTATTCGCCATAGTCATTGTTCAGCTCTTTGATGCATAACATGTGACTGCAAAAACCATGGCCTGTATCAAGTGCGCATTAGTCTCCTCAATGACACCATTGCTTTTTAGTACTTGTGCGAGGTCCCTAACAGTAGACATTTCCATTGCAATACGTCTTTTAATTTCCTGGCTGCTGGTGCCAGGAGTGTTGACTGTGGAGCCAAGCACAGTAAAGCTGTGAACAATCTCAATCTCTTCACTATCCATTCTGATGCTGCCAATTGGCCCAGTGGTGAGAATCTTTACTCCTCAATAATTTGGAATATTTATACAGTATTCTAATTAATCAGTAAGACATGAGCGCAAGAGAGAACACAGGGACCAGGTCATGGAAGATCTTTCATGCTGTGATGTATTAGAAGATGGGTGGTGGTGTTCAGTGCCTCTGAGTCAAGTATACTTCTTAGTGACCCCATTAACAACCTATCTGAATACTGTCCTGAATCCTGTGTCATCCTCATCATCTCTGACACACTTAAGCCTATTGCTACAGTCACTGCATTAATCTGTCTCATTCAGGGTCTTCCTCTCTTTTGCTGACCTTCCACCTTCCCATAAGATCCCTTTCCAAGCCTCTCCTGGGAACATGCTCAAACAATGTGAGACAAAGTTCTGTCATCCCTGCCTCCAAAGAATACTTCCACCTTCTCTAATAAACCACTCCCTCTTTCCTCTCCTAGCCTTCTTTCCTGGGAAGTTCGACACCCATAAGTTTAGCAGTCATTAAAGTCTCTGAGGCTGTAACATCAAGCTCTCTTTAAGAGCCACTGAAATTGCTATACACCCCCTCATGCCTCCATGGAATCAGTGACCTTCCTGTTGTCTCGCATCCAGCTCAATTCTCTGTCCAGGCAAGGGAAGTCAAAGGCAGGGCACTCACCCACACTAACATGAAGTCTAGATCTCACCCTGCAGCTGGATTATCATGCAGTACACCAGAAGTTTTCCAAGATAGGTGACAGGTGAGAATTACAGGTTATACTCATCACCGTGGAGGCCTCACAGCTCCACACTAGGACTTTATCATA